GAGTGGAGGAGGGCCGTATCTGATTGTGCTGAAATGACAACTGACAGCAACACAGAGGAGAACATTTTTAAAATTTGACAGCAACGATGTGATTGGCTTAAGAAGCCGTGAAGAATCTGGTTGGTTAACTGAACTTAACACGATCAGCTGATAAAGTATACACAGGGAGAGAGAGACTGAGAGATTATGAATGAAAAGGAGTGTAAAGAGAGCCTTCCTGACTGAACTTCCACTAAGCTTCATATTCCACAAGTTTATTGCATGGTTTATCAGATCATAGCACCATGAACACCAAATAATATGCACAATCCAATGCAGCATTACCACAAACTACTGTTTCAAAAGTTACCATTGAAAAGATGCCACTGCTGATAAACTGTCAACAAAGAATGGAACCGAATAAGCTCCATGGTGTTTTGTTTTTTGAAATATATTCCTATTCTGATAATTGGTTGAATGTTGAAATAACTTGCCTTCAGTAACTTTTTTTAAATTCACAACACAACAAATTTTACTCATCAGATTTTACAAAGCACATTTGGCATCATTAGCAGCGTTGGGAGAACAATTCTCTACCAGAACGGTGCTGGAAAAGATGAGCAACAAGAATTTGGCAAAGGTGCCAAACTACCCTCCTTTCTCTGCCAGCAAGGAGATACACAGGGGCTACACACATGCACAGACACAAACACACACAACACACACGCTTACACAGAGAGTCTCAAAGGAGTGATGAAATAGATGAGAAGAGGATCCACAGGGAGCCTGGAGGACTGGATAAATATTGACCTGAATGAATGAGGTCTGTCACAGTACATGAAAAGGGATATACGCTCACGCACACACTGACTCACCAACATCCATCCCCTCAAAGAACCTCTCGGCCTGTAAACTATACCTGCACATCTTCGCTGTTCAACCGCATATTTTAACAAAACCTGGAATCAATATTAATATTTATGGAGAAACTGAAGAGATTGCTTCACTGGAAGTATGAATAATGAAAGTGGTGAGTGTGTGATATGTGTCCTTGCCCATGTGCCAACCTCGATCCATCTTTTTTTTTTTTGTGCAAAGAAATTCAAATTTTTAAAATAAAGCTGTAATACTGAATTATTATTATTTTTTGCTTGGCTGAAGGGGAATAGCTGGTGTATCAATAAAACGATGCGATAAAGGCTAATGGAATTCCATTATTTCAAATAAACAATGATTTTGGCAGAACTGCCTCCTACAGTAAGTCTGAAATCCACTGGAAAGCCAAGTAGTAAAAGGGCGGCTGACAAAAACACATGGTGAGTCTCATGAAAATAATTGAAAAAAAAAAGATGGTAATGGTGCTCTTGTCATTATGTAATTATGTTATACCCTTTTCAGAATATTTGAGTAAGATTAGATGTTTCTAGAAACTACATAACATTTGCTCACATTTGATTGACGGCAATAAATAGTAGTGTAATTACTGGCAAATATAGCACGCAGGCTACAACTGTGAATCAAAGTCTGCGTTAGGTCAAGCACTGTTTAGTCCTATGTGTTTGTGGGATGGGGCCTTCAACGAGGATTTAAAGTCAGCCGAAAAGTCAGAACTGACCTTTATTAAATATGTGCTGACTATTGATATAGTTACTCTAAATGGCATTGCCCTGGCATCCAGCACCACCCTAATGAATCTCGGAGTTATCAGGATATGTCCTTTAACTCCCACATAAAACAAGCTTGTAGGCTGCCTTTTTTTAACTTTCATAACATTGCAAAAAACAGGCACATCCTGTCTGAAAACGATGCAGACAAAACGTGTTCATGCATTTGTTACTTCCAGACTAGATTACTGCAATTCCTTATTTTTCAGGCTGCTCTAATACGTCTCCAAAGACTTTCCAGTTGATCCAGAATACTGCAGCACATGTACAGACAAAAACTAAATGACATTACTCCCATATTAGCTTCTCTGCACTGGCTCCCAGTAAAATCCGTCTCCTCACCTACAAAGCCCTAATTAGCCAGGTACCATCATATCTTAAGGAGCTTATAGTACCATATTAGCCCGCTAGAGAGCTGTGCTCCCAGAATGCAGGGTTCTCACAAATCCGGATGGGAGCCAGAGCCTTCAGCTATCAAGCTCTTCTCCTGCGGAACCTGCAGCTTCCAGTTTCCACACACACTCACCACATTTAAGAGTAGGCTTAAGACTTTCCTTTTTGATAACGCTTATAGTTAGGGCTGACTCTGGTTTGCCTCGGTCCAGCCCCTAGATATGCTGCTATAGGCCTAGACTGCCGGGGGACTTCCTAGGATACAATGAGTTCCTCTCTCCGTCTGTATTAATGTCCCATTAATGCACATTACAAACTCAGCTTCTTTCCCAGAGTCTTTCTGCTTTCTCGCCTCGCAGGTTTCTATGGATCCCGGGGTTATACCTGGACTGTGGTCGTGCACCCACTGCTACTAATATGGACCCATGTGCCTGGAAAAAAAGTTAAATATATATAATATACAATATTATTATTATTAGTCACATTTGTATTACTATTACTGCTACCATTAATGCTTTAATTATCACTATTATTCTATTATATCCACTGCATGCTGTTATTAGTAGTCGTAATTTTTCCATCATTATTCTGCTTACTGCTCTATATGAACGATTTATATCATATGCATTGATGTGTTTTAATTCTATTATGTTGTTCATTCTGTACATATGATGTATATTGCCCTTCTGGGCATCCTGGGAGAGGGAGCCCTCCTCTGTTGCTCCCTCTAAGGTTTCTTCCTTTTTTTTCCCTGTTAAAGTTTTTTGGGGGGAGTTTTTCCTGTACAAACCATAAATTGAATTGAAATGGAGGCAGGGAGGGCAGGATAGGGCTGCCGTAGTCTTTTTTGCTTAGGATGGATTTTAACTGATGACCCAGAAGTATCTTAATGGTCGCATTAAAAAAAGCTGTTCAAAATCTTAAAAATGCTAAGGAAAGGTGATCCCAGGCTTCCTTTCGCATCTCCTTTACACTAGACCATCCTTTATACCAGGAAATTACATATTGCCGTGACGTTCCACAATTCATGCGGCAGCAACATTTAAAGAGATGCACCCTTCGGCCATAAATATCATAAACAACATGATGTTTTCCATCGAGGTCAAGGAAAAGTGGTTAAAAAAAGACTAATTGTCATGTCCTTGCATTTTGTTTATGTGGTCAGAGGTTTCATCCAAGGGGTCAATGGAAAGCACCTGCTTCTGCATTGGATGAAGGACCTACACAATATATTTGAAGTCATGTATAGAGGATAAATGATGACATTAAATCATAATTTGAAAGGAATCAATAAGATAAAACATCTCAGTATCTTCTGGTGACTTCACAATGATAGCATGAATGAATACATTCAAAACCTTAAGTGAGTTTCAGCTTTAAGTCAAAAGTTGACATTACTTTCCGAGGGTCCATCGCTGCTTCCTTTACTATTTGATTGACTGTTTGATTGTTTGCTACTTAGTATTTGCTACTGAGCAAAAGTCCCATCACCTGCCACATTCGCCTTAATGACATACTTAATGTCCTGCGACAGATGTTGGTGATTACTCAATTGCTTGATGTTGACTATTGCCATATATTGTCAATATAGCAAACTGTCAACGAACAAATTACCGTTCTCAATAACAAGAACCATACATAAAAAACAAAACAAGCTCGGACTATGATAGATTACTAAACTGTTGAAAAGCAACAGTTCAAGGAAAAGTGGTTAGGAATAGACGTTAGGTCATTTGTTTGACTTTTCGACCGCAGCCGGCTCATCGGCCTCACTTTTTAAGCGTCACCGCCATCTGCTGTTTTCATGGAGATAGCGCCCCTCATTTAACACGTCAAGAATTAACATTTGTATTTGCATGGTTTACAATTACCTGCCAGACACAAGTCAACTTGTTTTTACCCATCTACTTTTAGAGCTTAATGCAAAATGATTGAATGATGCAAGTATCTTAATCCACACGAATCCTATAGCTCACTGGGTCTTTGCCCGCTCTCCCTCTCCAGGGCTCTCAGTAATCCCTTTTAGGTGTTATTAGTTGAGGAGTATTTGATTTCCCTGCATACATCTTTCTAGAAAGAGCTGATATTCAGAATCTAATTTTAGAAGCAGTTAATTATAATAAAGTAATTGGAATGAACAGTCCATGTACGACATGTGAAGGCTCTATTGCTTTGTTTTATGCTCCACAGCATGGTCTGCTGTGTCACACTGAAGTAATTGACGGGGTGTTAGACGGATCCATTCTGAGACAGTATGTCTCGACCAGATTCTCTCATTACTCTTGTAGCTGCTTTACAACCTTGTGCTGTTGCCTGTCCACACTTCCTTTTGTTTGAACAATACTCGTCGCTAGTGTGATATGCAGTCGTCAAACTTGAAGGATAAGCTCACATTTTTTTAAAGGCCGTCTTTAATCAATATGACACATATTTTTTTAACCCTGACGCTTGAAATAAATGTGAAGAGATCCTTTGTCAAAGTCGCCATACAGTCACCGTCTCTGTCCATGGTTCTGAAATACAGTAACAAAGGCAGCGTCTCTCCATGGTGCTGAAATAAAACTCATAATCTGCCTCAAATCACTCCCTACTTCATCGATTAGCTATGCCTTACCATTCTGTTGCCCCCCCTTATTTGGAATAGTGATGATTCAGGGTTGTTTTGCGTCACTCATTGGCAGGTGTAGTGTCAAATAAGTGTATTCATCACATTTGTCAGTGCAGTAGTATAGTGTGCATACCAACAAAGTATACCGCACATTATGCATTTAATTCTACATGTGTTCCATCTGCAATATCAATATGTTTTAAGAATTTCAAACTCTAATTATGGTGTTTTCATATTCAATACCACAGTTGGAGCTGTTTAATAACAAGTCAGGATCATTCTGTTACCGCAAACAAAAGACATTGTATCAGTTAAATCATTTTTCTATGTAAAATAAAGCATTCCACTGTCAACAGTTAACTACTTTAAGAATTATTTATTTTCCATGTGAAAACAAGAAGCAAAGGCATTCATTTGATTCACAATAACTCATTGTGTTGTTGGAAAGGACAAGCTGTGTGGTCGAAAGGCTTCAATTGTAATAAAACAACAAACAAAGTTTGTTTAATTTCGACAGAAGGGGGGAAAATAATGTTCTCCCATTACCTCCCTAAAACATGGATAAGGAGTTCGATAACAACACAGACATGTAATAGAAATATATACATTCCTCCATCTTATTTCTCTTCTCCTCCTTTTTCCAGGTTCTCTCTGGTTTTGTAATGCTCTTCTGGAAGGTTCCTTAGCTTCTCAGCAGCCTACAGATACAAGAACACAGCAGTGTTTTTATACAGTTTTAAAGATAAATATAGGGACAGAGAGCGAATCTAGTGCAATCCTGGTTTTGTGATATAATTGGTATGCTGTGAGGGGTCAGCCTTTGATGGCCTGGGGTGAAAACAAAGCCCCTAGCATCACATCTCAAATCGTACTACTTTAATCTTTACTACTTTTATATCAGTAGAATCAATGAGTAACTCTGTGCCACACAAAGCTGGGTTTGCACATGTGCATTGAATAATATCCACCTGTTCAGGCGTGAGGTCCCTTTGCTCCTGGGCGAGCATCTCATACCCCACCATGAACTTCTTAACTGCAGCTGAACGCAGCAGAGGCGGGTAGTAGTGAGCATGAAGCTGCCAATGAGAGTTGTCTTCCGTTAAATGGGGGCCAGTCGGGGCTCCTGAATGAAGAGAGGGAGACATTAGACTTGAGACACAGAGACAGCTTTAATCACTCAATCAGAGGCTGTTTCTAATTTAGTGTCTTAGACAAAGTCCAGGACTTATTTCCATCGTGGTCTGTGTTATTCTATCGGTTTATCCAAGATGGAGACAGCCGTATAATCATCCAAAGCGGGAGACACATAACCACATACCTTTGGTTTCAATTTATAAACATGCCCATGTACTTATTTGGAGATGTTATCTAGCAGCCTTCTAATTTACCTTTTTCTTAAAAGGCGTGTGGGTTCTGCACCTCCTTAATTGCAAGAGGCAGTTTCCACTCCACAGCACCAGCAGAGATAAAATAAGCTTTTCCCAGCATGATTTAAACTCTATCATGATTCAGGTTTAGCTTTCCGAGCTGTGGTATCGTGATTGTCTAGTGAAATTGGGGAGACAGGAAAGGACACCGTGCATATTTTTCCCGTCAACTGTTGAAACTTTTCATGAAAGTGTGAGTAGCGACAACATATTTAAATGTTCTCAATGTTTCTGCAAAAAAACTGGAGGACAGGTAAACACACAGACACAAACAGAATGACGGCACAATCGAACACTAAAGGCTAATTAACGATATGCATAGCCAGGATACGACAAGCTCGTTTATCTCGCTGCCACACACACACACTACATGAACAAGCCCCTCTGCTCATTAACGCCTTTAAGCTGCAGACCAGACAGCCCCCCCTATCAGGTAGCCAACAGGATAAATGAAAGAAGCAGCCAGTGTTGACTCTGTGAGCAATAGAGCAATAATTTTACAAGTGCAATAAAAAAATAAATAAATATTTTTAAGTACTTTCTGTGAGGAGGAACCGGTGATCCATTCTATCAGAGATTGTTTTCTATAACGACCGCTGAGAATTCTCCGCTCTGATTAGCTGGCATGGGTCTACTAAATTCTGGTAATTGGACAGTATTACCAGGCACCACTGACACAGGTGTTTGTATTCTAAATGAATGCATCAGTATTAAACTGTAGGTAATGGAAGCACCAGTTTAGGCTTCATTGGTTTGGCTAAAGGGCTTCGAGTTCGTGGTGTTTAGTTTGTGTGACCAATACGAAATTAGATAAATAGCCGAGTGAGAAATGTTCCCTCTTTTTCCCACGTAAAAGGCCTTTCTGCTGTGGAAGCATTTTTCCTCGAATTTTGTCACCGTTTCTCTGTCTAACTTGACAAAACTTGCAGATTAGTGGATGACAAATTGCAATAATCACACAACTCGATAAATACTCTTTAAGAGGGGCATTACCAAAGACACATTTTCAGTGATTTGCGACTGAATTTAACATTTAAATACCTTCTTTGTTCCCTGTGATGCTTTCTGATCTGAGTGTGAGGGGATTAGAAGTGGAAGTAGAATTATCTCTCTTTTAAAAAAGACAAAAAAGCCATTCAAAAATAGAATCACAGAGGCATTGTATTCCCAATAAGAGAGACCATTTCCTTACAATGGGGGCTAATCAGACACTGATAGAGACGAGGCGAGATAAGGAATAAAGAGAGACAGATGCTTCTATTACTAGACAATTACCCACTTTTAAATATTTTTGGGTGTGTTTGTTCTGCTGCATGCGTGCAAGCATATAAGAGTGCATATTTTAGAATGAATTCAAACTTACAAATATTGCTGGATAAAGGACCACAACCTTTAACAGTTGCTAGCGTCACATTGAGCGACAAATCACAACACTGTACATTTTCTTCTACTTATATCCAGATTGTTGCAATGTATGCACATATGTGTCCCTATATGTCTGTCTGTCTCTGTGTCCCAGTCCTTTCATCTAGCCAGTACTGTAGTATGGTTTTCCTCCTGATGGAGTAAGCAGGTAGCTTTGTCTAATCCATGATTTCCCAGGTGACTCAAACACCATCCAACCACTTCTATCCCCAACCTGCCGCACAATAAACCCAGCCCAAAAGAAAAGCTGGCTGCTCCGAGATGAGCTCGAATAAAGCACACACACAGATGGGGAGATAAGGCAACTCATTATGTAAGCCAGGTATGCGTTTCCAAATTAGATGGTCAGTGTTTGCGGCATTTCTATGTGTGCATGTGTGACAGACTCACAGAGTGTAAGCGAGCCAAAGCACATCAATTATCATCCCAGCAGTCTCTTTTCCCTTAATCCCCCTTGATAAGGTTAAAATAGCACTATTGTTTGGGGAGTTTAAGGTTCTTTTGCCAATTAAAAAAAGAATGTAGTAGAATAGAAAACACCAGGAAGTTTCGCGTCGAAAAGAGTCAGCTGAGGTGGTTCGGGCATCTAATTAGGATGCCTCCTGGACGCCTCCCAGTGGAGGTTTTCCAGGCACGTCCAACTGGGAAGAGACCCCGGGGAAGACCCAGAACACGCTGGAGAGATTACATCTCCCAGCTGGCCTGGGAACGCCTCGGGATCCCCCAGAATGAGCTGGAACATGTTGCCGGTGAGAGGGAAGTCTGGATCAGCCTGCTTGGCCTATTGCCACTGCGACCCGACCCCGGATAAGCAGAGGAAAATGGATGGATGGATGGATGGACACCAGGAAGTAGTAGCAGTTCATTAGGAAAGATAATATGTTACATTTCACACTGTCAGAGGATTATGAAACCGCTTTCGGCAGTGAATATTTAGGGATATTTGTTGCAACAGGTGTAGGTAATAAATTAATTAAGTAAATCTTTAAGCTCTTACATTACAGTTGGCATATTAAACTAAAAGATCCATACACGACAGGATACTATATGTGAAATGTGTGCAACTAGAGTTAACGTGCCTCTACATGCCGCTGATGAGAGAGATTTTAGACGGACAGATTAGTAGCCGTGGGTATTTGACATAGAGGGGATTCAGTAGGTCAGACAGAGCTAAATGTATCTTCTGAGAAGGTAACGCTGCTGGAGCTAAGTTAAACTCATATGTGTTGAAGTGATTTGATATCAACAATGTTCCTGGCTGCCTGGCTGCCTGGTCATTGACCCAGGTGACCCAGCGCTACATTCTGGATCTGAGACAAGACAATCAATACAAATTGTCACTCTTGAACCAACTTAAATGTGGATTAGTCTCTCACCGACTACGGAGTTGTAGTCTAAATTAAACAAGATTAATTTCAACCTTGTTGTTAGTCCTAATTAGTCATTATGTGTGCACACCTCACTGGCTTGAGGCTGTTCATGAAAGATGAAAAGCCCATCATTTGGGATTGGAACAGTAAAATAGAGACGGAACGGAAAGAAAACATTTTCACCACAAAGATCTTAAATTGATCAGCGCTAGGTGAGAAACATGTACATACCCTCCCTATACAGTATGTGTACAAGTTGTCCTGGTAGTGCACCTAGATCCATGCTGCAGTGTTTGTCTTCCCAGAACATCATTCTGAATAAGAATGCCTTCGTCAGGGAGCAGTGAGGTTTCCTGCTGCGGAGGTTGAACCTGCAACCTTTTGCTTCTACGAGGATCGCTCTGACCGCTCGGCCGTGATGACACGGCTCTCCTTTCTGTCACACATCACTCATCGCATCGCTGCACTCTGCTAACCTTTGTTCCAGTTTGAACCCGCTGCAAGGAGTTTGTCTTGACAATGCTCACAATAGGTCTCTCTCATTTCCCTCACTGTCTCAGTCCAGGTAAATATCAGCCAATGCCTACGCTGAGCTTGAGATTCACGAGAGGAACAGCTGTCTCGATGGCAAACACCTTTGTTCGGTTTAAAGCGTACAGACTTTGTGTGTTTGTGCAAGCTGCTTCTTCACAGCAGGCCAATTAAACACTTGCCCGGCCATAGTTAAACGAAGATTAATACTCGCATCTTGACTGTTGTGGTGTGAGGTATTTTGCAAATGTGTTTTTGCCACTCTGCATGTTCTGTCAAAATGAAAAGGTAATTTGCTTGCTTATTCACTTGCTCTCTGTCTTGTTACTGGTTCTTTCATTTCCTCTGACTGTGTGCACTATAATCTAAAGTTGTAAAAAATGAACATTGTAACGAATCCCAATTTAAATGTGAGATTAATACAAAGCCGGAGATATAGAAAATACACATATCTGATGCATCCGTTATTACATTATTAACAACTACTTTCTGCACCACAGGCGGAGCAAAGTTCAGCAGACAAAAGCAAAACATTCTCGTATTTGGTTTAAAATTATGATTCAATTTTCCTCTTGGGAAAATTGATGATATCTCCTGAAGGGAAAATACAAACAACCCCTGGAAGGCCAGCAGGGAACAGCAAATGAATCTAACTCACATTACCTCACATACAAGTGGGAAACTTTTCCTTTGAGTCCAAAATATCCAGCAAATATAGAGATTAAATAACACTGGCTTGGGTAAATAAACATTATCGATGCTCTAATCAATATTTGTATATCAGCAACGGATCAAATGACTGTGTCAAATGTGAAGGGTGTCACTCATGGTGACAAATTATCCCCATATTCTGTCGTTCATCTAAGCCCAATGTAGCGTTTTAGCCTCTTTCAGCTCATGTTTTTTGGTTTTATGGCCCACCACTTCACTTTTTGGAGATTTCAACACTCTCCGCATGTATTCCAGCAGCAACAGGGAGCAAAAAAGGCAAAGCTCTAAAAACCCAGTGTTCAATTCTTTCCCAGCATCAGATGGTACATCGGAAAAAAAGTTAGCAACTAGCTATTGAACAGCATTCATCTGCTGGAGAGCCCGATATTTCCCTCATGAGGAGACCAAAAAGGAGCTAAAAGGAGAGTGACTATTGATTTAATATTCATCAGCTGGAAAGACACACAACTCCAAATGAATGCTAATGTTAAATAAGCCATTTTCTTCGTGGTTATGTATGTAGAAAACATTAAATAAGGTGATGTGTCTGAGTGTGCATTGAAGTGTTAAAAGCATCAAAGCTGAGGATTTCTCCTTTGTCAGCAGAGATGATTGAAACGCAACAAGAGTTATCTAATCTGTAGGGAACACACGCTGCATCCTAATTTACATACATCTTTCCAGTGACATTGGACAAGCTAATCAATATTCATGTGATATTAATGCCACGTTGGTGGACGATGTGACCTAATGTAAAGTTGTACGTGCGAGGAAAGAAAACTGACTGTGACTCTACCTCACATATTTCACGACTTGTGCAGATAATGTGAATGGAGCACGTTCATATATCAAACTGACTAAGTGAAGTTGTTAACGGCTGGCCTGATATGTGAACAGCCTCCAGTTTGTAGCAGTATTTGTGTGCCAATCCATCAATCCATCCACAGATTTTTAAGATTTAAATTAAAATTCTCTTTAATCTTCCCCCGCCATCTGTCCCTCTCTCCTTCTGTCACTCTACAAAAGAAACTTTAAAAAATGATTCTTATTGTTATTGAAACTTTCTCTTTTTAAACTCTGTCGTCTTACCGTGCCAGCCCATGGAGTAGGGGAACGAGATTTCAAACAGATTGTCATACTTGGTCAGCAGTCGCTTCATAATGTCAGCCAGACCTGATAGACAGACAGAAAACAGGAGGACAGTGGGAAGGGAAAGAGGATATGTGTTAGTGAGCAAGGGAGTGATCAAATTAGGGATTTCAATTTGAAATGAATTGATTAATCTAAGTTTATACATCTTAACAACAAAGTTGTACTCCACGAAATCTTTATAACAATGGACACGTGCTGTTTACGGCTCAACCCAAATCAATTTGGTATTTCTGAATCAGGCACATTCACAATACATTGAGTATTTGAATTATCAGTTAAATAAACACACTGTTCAAAACAATCTATCAACATTCTCATTTTTCAACAAATGGCCAAACTAAATTCTGAATACACAAGATTAAACATAATGATTCTGCTCAATTTCCAGGGTTTATTGCAGCACATAACAAGCAGAACACTTATACTTATATATAGACTATATTTAAGACAATAAGAACATTTATGTACAAATTGTCGAAAGCAGTAATGGGGTTTGATGTAAATCTGTATTTAAACGTCCAACAAGACACCTTTCACAGTGCTATACAGTGTCACATAAAAAACAGATGAAAATACTCCGCGAACTTATGTCCCACACTGTTCAGACCACTTTGAACATATTCAGTCGATACACTCTTCATTGAATTGTTATTGGTGATTGATTGATTAAAGAATCATTAACATCCCTACATCAGTCGCTCGTCTCAACAAATCCACCTGTTGTTTAAAATGGCTGCAGGCACTACTGGCTGTTAGTGTGTGCTGATTCCTCCCCGTGTTCAGTGTGAAACATTGGTAATGCACCGTGTCTCAGAAGACACCTATCCCACTGATCCATCTCATCTAGCTTCGGCTTCACACCTCCACTACATAGAAGCTCAATCAGCTAAACAGACTCTCAGCTGTCAACAGAAGTCTTCCAAATGAGCCAGCTGCTGATTCACAGATGCAGTGGTGTTTGTCCTTGAGAGGGAACGGTACGTAATCTCACAAGATCTCAACAACCTTAAGAGAATTAGTTCTCATGCAACAACAACAACAACAACATCTGCTTGAGTCATCTAAACACCATCATGACAGGGCGAGAGGGAAGTGAACGACGATAAACAACTAATTTACTTAATGAGCAACAAAGCATTGCGTTGCTTTATAAACTATATAGAGGGAGGGTTGACAGGCAACAAATACATGCAACCACCGTAATCTACTACTATAATGTTAGCTATGGAGGCATGCTTGAAATTTAGACATCATCCATTCATAACTAGCGTCCAATAATTCAAACATTGGCCCATACTGTAAGAAGTCTTGGGTGCAATTGATTGTAAGCTTCATATTTTATTGAGCTGATTTGAACTCCATGACCTGAAAGTTGTTTGAATGTGCTGTGAATGAACATGGAAGTTCATGACACACACACACACGCATACACACACACACACACACATACACATACAGGAGGCCCCTTGGTCAGGAACCAAACCTTAGGTTTCCCGTTAAACTAATCTTAATTACCTCAACGCTCTCTCAGTCACTCACTGTCAGCGTCCTCACACTCACCCTCCCTCTCCTCTGCGGTCAGATCGTTGATCCTGAGGACATGTCGTCGTGGTAACAACAGCGTTTGGTAGGGCCACGTTGCCCAATATGGAACCACCGCCAGCCAATCAGAAGTCTCCACCACCACACGCTCCTGGAGAAGAGACACAATCAAAAGTGTTTTTGAGTATATTTCAACTAGTAAGTAAGTATTGTTGAGTTAACTGCTGTTTCTAAACTCAATTTTGAAAAGCTATTGGAGCCGGTGAACCTGACCTGGAAAATCAGTGTGTACAATCCGAGCGTCTTTAATGAACATCATTCAGCTGGTTAAGCACCTTGAACCCTCCTCTTCAGTGAATCGAAGTTCTTAAGAAACAGTTAGAGCCATCTTAGCAGTCAATTTATCAAACCTAGTACTCCACATTAGAGAGGACTGCCGGTCTCAGAACCATCTGCTACTACTTGACTTGCTGTCTCAGCTTTTCTCCTTTTTTTTCTTGAATCCCTCTCTTTCATGTCTACTCTTTTTCTGACAGTCTTTCAGGTAATTACTGTAAACGATTTCAAAGCTGAATGTTGATGAAACGACCATACTCCCATTAGCTATAATGAACACACCCGTACATATACAGAGGCAGTAAACACACAAACTTGTTCAGACCGCTTTGGCTTATTAAGTCACCTCACAACATGTATTCAGACCAGAATGACATGAATGAAAACAAGGAATACTAAGTATTAAAAACAACTGTGTAAAGGTTGACTGAGCACGCTCTTACTTTACGACAAACTGAGTTCAAAATGGTTATAAAACAGGTCAGTGGCTGTTCGCAGCATGACGCCTTATTACCATAAACTGTTTAAATGCAGAATATGTCAGAAGCTGAGATTTAACAAGCTGATGAGTGGGCACAAACACGACCCGACCTAGATATTACAATTCATCAGAAATAGATTAGCTCAGAGTCTGTGTCTCTGTGTGTGTGTGTGTGTGTGTGTGTGTGTGTGAGGGCTAAACAGCAGCAGTAAGAATCTTGTGAAAGTCAGCTTCATACTAATCCCAAAATCACCACGCAAATCTTTCTCTCTCTCACTCTCTTCACTTTGCATTGGATTTCCAGTAACTGCATGTATTTCCTAACACAACTCCCTGTATGTCTCAGTCTGATTACGAACTGAGATGGAAAGGCTGCTGTGTAGAGGCCTCGGAGCATAACAATCTACAGCAGGGTTGATCGACTGTCGAGAGTTCCTAAAGCTGTATTGATTTTAGTTACTTTTTGGCCACTTGGGGGCAGAAGAACCCCACAACACACTGAAAAACACCACGTCCTGACAGATAATCACCTTATAAAGTTGTTTATGCAAACAACAGCCTGTCTACACAGACAGCCGACGGAAAGCAACCTCGGCATTCATGTGCTTTTGACCGCCTGATAATTGCGAGTGAAATTTTCACTTTCCTTTTGGGTTTCACCAACTCCTGAGAGAATAAAGTGGTTCTTTGGCTGCTACATGCTCAGCTATGTTCACCGGCTAGTTGACAACTTTGTGCGTTTGCTTTATTCATTTGCTGAAAAGAGCTGCCTGCTGCTGCTGATAAGAGTGGTGAGACTGAACTGTACAGTAAATGTGCCATGAAACCAAAGCAACGAGCTAAATGAGTCTTATTAATTGCCAAGGTTGTAGAGCACTCATCAATCAATCAAGTTAGCTAGCTAGTTAGCCATAGTGCTAAATAACTTGTGGGTCTTTTATAGTGTGCTGGGTCTGAGCCAACTGTATGACCGACATGTCCATAGATTTAGGTAAAAATGTTCCACGCTATCATTTTACTGTATCATCTGGTACATGGAGTCCAGTAGCCTCATTGCTGCATAACTCTGCCCGACTCAACCTGAGCAGAGGCATAATCAGCCGGAATAAGTGTAGGGCCAAAGGTTTATAGGCTGAACATGTCTTGGACAGAATGGTGACTCAGTATTTACCATTTTCGTCTCACAGTAGTTGAGTCCTGGGATCGCAACTCAACCTTGTGGCACACAGAGGGCTCTGTGTGAATATTGCATGTGTACTTTGGGTTTCCCCTCGGGTATTCCAGTCTTCCAGGAATAAGGTTAATGTTTAAAAAAAAAAAAAAAAAGAAGCATCCGCATCCTCAAATCTGTGCAAAAATAATAGAAGTATCTATTGGGACTCCTTCTGCCCTTCACCATGTCTCTAGTCTCAGAAATGGAGTTGTTCTAAAAATCCTCTGGCACATATTTCCACATGCTTTTTGAGTCTATGTGTTGTAGTTTTGGTGTCAAGTGACCAATACAATATTAGATGTTATTTGGGTTCACGTACCATGTCTACCAAGCATTGTGTTTTAGAATGATGTGTCATTTCTCAATACAAAAAACGGTGCTTTTTTCTAGCTTCACTGCAGCTAAGAAGAGTCGTATCGTTAGATGGAAACCTGCACAGAGTTTATATGTATATTATTATATTAAATAGTGGGCTTTCTCTTTTCACAATCTTTTGTTGATTTTCTCACTTTCTCACAGCTTTTCCTCATACTGCCTTTATACAGTATTTCAGTCAAAACTATTAATGCTGTTCTGTGTGAATAGTATGAAAACGAATTAAAATGTAAAAAAAAATATTGTTATCAGTAACCAGACACCAAAGCAAAGAGAGAGTGTTTGGGCATCCTAGGCCATAAATCTCCTTGTCCAGGCATTAGTGCATAATTAAGGCATCTACTGGGAATGCTGTGGTGTTTAAGACTAAGAGCAATCTAACTGAATCCTAATGATCTTACTTGCCGTATAGGATTCTACTTAGTGCCTGGTGCAATAACACTTTGACTATAGCTTCCTTTTCAACAAATATTTTGAAAGTAAGAAAATGAGGAGGGGATAAAAAGCAGGAAATTGTATTAGCGGTGTGTGTGTGTATCTCTAAAGTGCTTAGCGACACCATTATGAACAGTATTTTATGTTGTTATTCAACATATTGACTTTACATATACTTCCTTCTAACAATTGTATACAGCTTTCTCCACTTCAATCGAAAACATGTCCGTCCTCTGCTGCCTTTGACAGGATTATAAAGGAGCAGAATGGAGACAGAAAAATAAGAGAGAACCAGGATGGAGAGGGAAGATTAAGGAGGAGGGGTGGAGTGAAGAGAGAGAGAGAGAGAGAGAGAGAGAGAGAGAGAGAGAGAGAGGGAGGGAGTGGAGGATGTCCTAAAACAGGCACCTCACAGACCGCAAATCCCAAAGAGTTTCATTCAATTAGTTTACAAAGTTTTGGTTTCAAAGTCAAGAGTGTCACCAGGGAGCCGAACCCCAATTCAAACTCCTCCAAACACTGCAGTGTGCCAATTTATGGTCCTAACCTCGGGTCAGAGAGACAGGAGCTAAAGGAGAGAGGGAGAGAGACACATACACACACACACACACACACACAAATGCTTCCACTCTGATTTTATAAAGGTCAATCCCCATGAGCAGCTGTCTAGGAGATTCAAGTGTCTACTCTGCTCTTCTCGAAACCTTAATGCTATCCCCCCTCTCTCTCTCTCTCACTTTGTCACTCTTTCTCACACACACACACGCACACACACACGCACACGCACGCACGCGATCCCAGTAGAGCATGCAGGTATCAGCTTATTCACTGAATGAATCAGTGGCTGTCTGATTTGTCTTCTACTTCTTCCCGCCATATCTCTCTGTGTGACTTTGTGTCTCAGTTTCTGTCCTCTCTTGTCTCCTCATCATCAAGCCCATTCTCCCTCTCCAGCTACTCTTGAAGGGGAATGTAACACTTTTTAGTCACTCAAAAGACAGCTTTAATTCCAGTGAAGAACAGGATCAGAAAGACCCTCCTCTTGAGATAGAGTGGCTAATCAGTAAAAAAACAAAATGGCTGTGATTTGTTGCAGTAAAGTGAACAATTCAGGAAAAGAAAACCAGGAAAGACGTTGCAGATTTTACTTTGTCCAAGCTTTTCTTTGGCGTTAAGATAATCATTCTCTCTTGGTTATATTGTCTAGCATGAACACTAAACTTCATCGTTGCATGTGCAGTGTGAAGCCAAGTTGAAATGATGTTTCATATATTGATTAGCTTAGCCAATATCTGACCAGTAACTGCCTGGAGTCTGGCCAATAAATAGTCCAGCACACAAGCCAAGTTGAAGTAGCGGCTGCTGGCTCCAGGTCGGTATTCATGGTACAGACACAAGAGTGGTATTGATTCTCTAGCCTAACGCTCAGTAAGAAGGCTAATAACCACATTTCCCCAAAACATCGAACTATTCCTTTAACTGTCATCCTACCAATTGTTTTTATGTACTGTTTACATCTAATAGGTGCTTTATTCTATCATTCCAATTTTTCATGACTTTGTCAATCAATGTGTTCCTTATGACTTCATCTCATTGTTTTTCGGTTCAAAAGCACCCGATTGCAGCCTCTGCAGTTTTAAAGTCACAGTGTGAAGGATTTAGGGGAATTTATTCACAGAAATTGAACATCATATTATTAACTATGTTTTCATTAGTATATACTGTAATCACCTGAAACTAGTTGTGTTTTCGTGAGCTTAGAATGAGCCGTTTGTATCTGAAAAGGGGAGCGGGTCCTCTTCACGGAGTCCGCCATGTTTCCACAGTAGCCCAGAACAGACAAACTAAACACTGGCTCTAGCTTTTTATGTTACCAGAAGGTCATCGTAGTTCTCCGACAGGCTTGGAGAGGAAAGGGTGGTTTTAAGAATAAATAAGTAAACATAAAACTTTTTTTTTTTAAAGTGCTTATTCAAAGGCTTTGAAAAGTAATATGATTTCTAAATATATTTTGTTGAGACAACTTCATAATTCCTAGTTGGCAGTATGAACAAACACTAAATAATCTGAATGAAATAAACACAGAGAAAATATTTTTGCCAGTTCTTTTACACACAATTCCAGTGAAATGTTAAAAAGTAATGTATTAAGGCTTTCCATTCAGTCTGAAAACAGATGTACGACACACACGCACGCACGCACACACGCACGCACACACACACACACACACACACACACCCTTGGATAACACTGAACACACAGCATAATCAACATGGGGAGAGAGGTGATAAATTGACATCAAATAATCCTCCTAAACCTAAATAACGAAAACGTGCAATCTATTCATTACTACTTAAAATAAAAGGTAAAATGCTAAAGTGATAAAGTGTTGCAGGTTAATCGCATTAGGACAAGATAAACCGACAGCAAATTTGATTGGCTTATCACTGGCTAAACACAAGGGAACCCAGTTTTAAGAAGGGTTTTAGCTTTGAATATAACCTGAGATTAAGTGTAGTAAATAACAAAGTAACATAAGCAAGATATCTCTTTCTACAGCTCCAGGTAGCGAAGCGAAGAAGTCCCGGCTCTGTCAAGTTTAGTTCTACTGTAGAGAGTTCCTTCACGGATTCCACCAAATCATCGACGGTTACTGCTGCTGATGTTCAAAACACATGACTGGAAAATCACTCAAATACACAAACAAACACACAGTCGTTTTTTTCCCCCTTAATCTTCGCACAGGTTAAAGATGGATGACGCTGCATCATGCTAATGAGCATCTCTGCTGTCCAATGACACGCTTCACTGACTGAAAGACAGGGTATGCCGAATGGGGGGAAAAAAGAGAAAGAGAAAGTAAGAGAAGCATGACAGGAAAAGGTGGAAGTAGATGGATTAAGGGAGAGGCAATGAGGGTAGTCATGGCGAGCAAATTATGATGTCACCTATTTGCATAAATCTCGTATTTAGAGACTTTTTATTTTTTTTAAGCATTGCTCTGATGTTTATTATTTACCATTATCACACAGTCAGCTAAAATGACTTCCCCATCACCATACACGATATTTGTCATGGTCATCAAATCCAAATTTTTGTGAGGTAATCAATTCAAAATAAGCACTTAATTTAATCAAACATGCCTTTTAAGCCATTGTTGTTTGATTCAATGTGACTGACCTCTATAGGCTGGAACGCCAGATCTGATGCACGTCTTCCCATTATACAGATGTTAGAATTCATATTGAATAGTCCATGAAAGACGAAATGTTTAACGCTGCTTTTGTATACATTTTTACCCTAACTTATAACGTAAGCTACACATTGTTTATTTTAAAAAAATGCAGTTAAAGTTTCATTTAACTCACCTAAAATCCCTGAAACTAATAATAAACTGCAGAGCTCACGCCTCTCATTGTGTGTTTTCTGTTAGTAAAATTTCAACGTGAATGAAAAAACCCCTAAAAAACTCCCTTCTCTGTATGACTGTTGAAAGGCATTCTGGAAAATGTACAATAGCCAAAATTAAAGTAAAACTAGGTGAAACCAAGGGACAGTACATTACAAGCCTCTGAGGGCAAAATGCAGCTTTCAATGTTCTTTTTTAGACATTATTTGCATTTGTGTTTCTACAGTACGTGTATGGGTGTACCTTTTTCTCAGCCTCTTGCTTGGCGTATTGCAGCAGCAGCGGTTCTCCATGTTTCTGGTGGTAGGCTCTCTGACAGCGGTCTGACAGAGCCGGCTCATTAGGAAGGAAGTTGCTGGCCCACACCTGTGATACAACGGGAGTCAGAAAGAAGATGGAGGAAGATAATGATGAGACATATCAGAAATCGAAAGAGTTTTCGATGTATGTGCACCTCTGATTAGAAAATAAAAGGGGTAATAAACAATCTGCCCCCCCCCCGCTCCAATTCCAAATTACTTTTATTTTGTCCATTCAGGCTTTTTAAATTGATAAATCTCTTCTACCCTGCAGTCACTGGCTTTGATTTATTTCAATAATTTGTGAAAATCAAACTTGCAGACACTAAAACATAATTGAGATAGGTCCTTCATCAGTGAGCAGCGAGGTTCCATGCACAGGCTCTGAAAACATATTTTCTCAATCAGCTTCTTACCGAGTGCGTTACGGTCGTAAAGCACATGAACACACAATCACACAATGTTCTGCCAAAAATTGGAACAGCTGTGGTTATTTTAGGACACATTATCTGTATCTTGTTTTTTTGGTCCGTGTTTGTGTCACTGGTCTGAGGGCTCAGTTGGAAAAAGGTGATGTCAGGCATTTCTTTGCGTTAATCATGTAATGGCAAAATTTGAATCAAAATGTGTCAAAATTTCAAGAATATGTCATTTTTTGTGAATGGGCTAAAATATGCAAAAACACTGGCATGATCTTTTATTGCCCTTTAGATACATGTATAGGTAGATTATGGGGGATTTACTGTGCATTTAAAGTATTTTCTTTACTTACAATAGAGAAACAACTACATTACACTACAAATATACAGTAAATACTTCTATGCATAATGTTACGGCCACACTAAATTGTAGCTGTGTCAAACATTATAGCTAACCACAACTGAACATGTTGGAGCACTCTTCCCTGTGCCCATAGAGACAGAAACACACTCACTGATGAAATTAGCCTCCTGATTTTGATAAACCTCTAAAAAAAATGTAAAAAAGGGATTACAAGTTCAAAGCAGCTGTTTTAATGTTGAGACTTCCCTCTCAGCCACCAACTGGCATTCTGTGTGTCAGTCGGTATCCACTCTCAATGAGATGCTGGTATTCACTTTGATTGAAACAGTAAACATCCCTGGAGGAAACAGACAGTTTGATGCTGTAAAACAGATGAGATGCTGCAGGTCATTTCATTCGAGGACAACATTCATTTGCGTTACAGCACTGTAGTTCCCTTTTCAATCACGCTTCGGAGAAAACGCTTCTAGGCTGCGGAAATTAGCTCCCTAATGTACTTCAACTGCATTTCAGAAAGCTCTTTATGGATAACCGTGAACATCACGTCGGACATTCGGATTATTTATGTTTGCACTTAATGTTATTTTAATGGCTGTAAAAGCAGGTAAGGAGTGCCAAATGACTCTAACGTGTAACTAACTGGCTCACTGCTGCATGATGAATCAGCACCTGAGATAACAGTCGCTGGGGTTTCAAAAAGGAGGCATCTTACGTATGGGTTTGTTGTAATCAGCATCCAAACTAACGGACACAAGTATTCGCAGAAATGCAAATCTAAATATACATATTCCTGCTCTGATGAGTGAGACCTTCACCAGAATATTGATTAGTTATTGATGTACTGCAAAGCAGTTTGTGTGTGTTTCTAATAGACAGTGGTGTTTCTTTTGGCCTCTAGTTTGGTTTCTTTTCATTATTTGTACATATTGTACGGAATAGGCATTATTGTCAACTGTTTTACAGGTGGCATTTAGGCCAATTAAAGTAGATTTGTACTGAAAGTAACATATTTGTGTCACCAGGAGTAGGTTTTCCAATTATAATATTCCATCGCATGAACAGAGTAATGATCAGAGGCATTCTGTGCTGCTTATAGGAGCACTGCTTCAGGCTGCACGGCTAATTGTTTTCTGATTACACTTTTGCAGTCATGGTCCTCCAATACAAAAGAGGAATCAGTATCAATAAAGTATCAACTTCATCGGGGGGGGGACAGTAATAAAGGGTCCTCTTGATAGTCAAGGGGCTTCATCATTTCTTTTTCATTTTGAGGTAATTTATGCGTGTCCTGCTGGCCTTGCCTCTACATGGCTGTATTGTCCTGGGTTTAGATTTATGACTAATACTTGGCAAAGCAAATGCGATAAAAATAATCCGCAAAAAAACCTGAGAATTCTTCATGTTTGTTGGCATTGTTTGCCCTTGGTAAGACCACAATTACTGCAATGGGAGCAAAACCAGCCTAGCATGATGTTTATATTAATGACTTTGAATATTGGCTCAAGGCTGCACCATGTTTATGCTCATGGTCCTAGCATGCCAGAGAGAGACGATATGGTCAGTGTGTGAACTATACGTGTAAATACTGTACATCTGCATGCCTTGAGGCAGGTGTAATAGTGTGTGTGGGGATATATTTGCACGCCTGCCAACATCTGTGCACATGTGGCTCTGTTTGTACACACAAGTCTCTCATCTATCCAGCAGCAGACTGTTGATTCTCAGAGAAAAGCTAGAAAAAAAGTAAAGATAATAACACAAGAGAAAAGCAAAGCATATACTCTATTCCCACAAGAAGGAACTGATGACACTTCGGAAGTAAATACTTACTCAATAACTGTCTGCTTCTGAGAGGCAAACATTTTCAATCACACTATGATCACCTGACAGAATGAACACAGTTTGGATTGCTCACGTGAAAAAGACAATTAATATTCCAGGGGCAGCTCTGTGTCTCTGAGACCAAAGTTATCAGAAGCAACGATGCCTGCAGAGCATGATTAACGTTTTCTGTTCGTTACTCTTCAAAGTTTTAGATCTAGTCTATGCGTTGTGGCCTGGAGGGGTTGCCTGGCTGTGCATGCACACATTTACTCTCTTTTCCGAGACTTTGACGTCTTAGGAAAGGAGGATCTGGACTGCAGGAAAAAAAGTAACAAAACTGATAAAACTTTTAAAAAGCTTCATCAAAAACTAGTTCTAGGTTCGATTTTGTCTCTGAAACTATTTCACAGTGGACCACAATAAAAAAAATGTTTTTAATATTATTGTAATAAAAGTACAAACAAGACTTTGACGCCACCTGAATACATATATTCTAAGGGTTTCAAAACCATCTTAATCACAAACGTCCTCCCTTTGGTACGGTATCGTCCTCTACTTTTTTTACAGCAACTTTCTGAAGTACCTAATGATACAGTGTGTTACAACCATGTTATTCTGAGGTCACATGCTGCCCTCTGCTGTTAACTTGTATATTACAGCACAGATTCAAGTACAGCGGGCCTTTGTTTCTGTATGGAGTCAAACATTCATTTTACTCCAAACGCCTGATGATTTGAAATGTCACTGATCAACCACAACATCTGCAGGACTGTTAAGTTACAATGTTAAGTTACAATGACACTTTTAAGAGCTCCTCACCTCAGAGAACTGTTTTGTTTCCCGTTTTGTGTCTTAAAATAGCTCAGTCTCTTTTACACAACAGCTTTTTTTTTTTTTTCTTTTCCAAAACTGTCAACCTATCAGGATTTGTCAGTGTGCTGCCTTTAGAATAAATGAGACCAGCTCACTACATCTGAAGCCTGATGTGTTTGATCTGTTGTGTTTTATCTACATTTAAATGTGTTTTCTGATTGCTTGACATA